CCAATGTCATCAAGTAAAAGAGGCAGCTTTAGGAATCTCACTGGAAGGAGGGGTGTCTTCAAGCCTCTCACTGCTAAGCCGGACATTTCCTAACACTGGACAAATTGTACGTCTAGCTCGGGAAGGGTGAACTGCAATGGTCTTTTACCCTCCAAGCCAATTGTTAGCTTTTCACAGGAATCAGCAGGGAAGCACATGTGAAACCTCTGTGGTGATGGTGAGGACCCCCATGCCTTGTGTGACTCTGCATGTAGATGAAGCAGGCTGGGAGCTTTCTGAGCTGCGGCTGCAGCGTTCTCAGAGAAGCCCTTTTCTCCGGCTTGGCTCCCTGCTGGGACAGCCCTTTTCAATATTTCTATCCCCCCTCGATCTCTTCTCCTGCAGAACACAGGGAAACTTGATTGAAATAAAGACCTAGGGAACATGGTTTATTTTCTCCTGCTCAATCCATTTTAGAAAAGCTTTTAATTGGTTTTAAAAAGATGCTAAACAAAATGTGATGATGTTTTTCAGTCTTCATGAACTACTGATACCACTTTTTAGCCTCTCAAAGGGCTAATAAATCAATCATGAAATTAACTCTCCAGCTAAATTTAAAGCAAAGCCACTGAACAGTAGGTTCATTAAAAATCTATGTATTTGCTTTGAAATATTTAAAATTCAAAGAAAATTATCCTAGTAACTGAAATCTGACTTGCATTTTTAGTCCTACGCTGAAAAATCCAAGACCGAGGCAATCACAAAGGGAAAAAAGGAGGGCTTGTGAACCAGTTTTAATAAGCCAGTTTACAACAGGGAGAGGGCTACGGGGGAGGGGGAGAAGTAGAAAGGAGAATATACTGATACATAACAACATAGTGCCCCTGAAGGGATTCTTTTATTTGAGCATGTGCACACATGCAGACACTATTTTCCTGGGTGAAAGCTGGAATTACAACAAACGCAAAATTAAGGATTCTGTGACTGATATGATTACTGTATTGTATACATATGCAATTCTTCTTTTTAAAGGAAAATACCTACACTTTTCTGCTTTCTTGCCAGTGATAAATAATAGTTTTCTACCACTCTATACATCTTGCAACATTGAGATTCATACTTTTTCTCCTAAATTTTATTTATTTTGTTGTTGTTGAGAATATACACAGCAAAACATACCAATTCAACAGTTTCCAGATGTACAGGTCAGAGACACTGATTATTACATTCTTCGTGTTATGCAACCATTCTCACCCTCCTTTCCTGAGTTGTTCCTGCCCCATTAACATAAACTCACTGCTTCTAAGGTTCCTATCTAATCTTTTGAGTTGCTGTTCTCAATTTGATCCCATGTAGATAGTGCTTAAAAGAGCATAAGGCTCAAGGCAGATCTTTTTTACTAGTTAAGCTAAACTACTGTTTGGTTTTAAGATGACTTCAGGGGAATATTTCTGGCTTAAGGTTTAAAGATGATCTCAGGGCAACAGTTTCAGGGGCTCATCCACCCTCTGTGGCTCTAGAAAGTCTAGAATCTATGAGAATTTGAAATCCTGTTCAGCATTTCCCCCCTTTTGATAAGGATTCTTCTAAGGAATCTTTGGTCAAAATGTTCAGTAATGACAGCCGGACACCATCCAGTTCTTCTGGTCTCATGGCAAAGGAGGCTGTTGTTCATGGAGGCAATTAGCCACACATTCCATATCACTCTCCTTCTTCCTCTGTTGCTACAGGGGAATACAGCAACATACTCATACACTTTTAGTATCTATTTGATGGGAATGCTTCTACCTTACAATGACAAATATTCTTGATACTGGATCAGTCTGAAAATTTCTCCTTATTTTCCTGAGAGTATACAAACTAATTTAAAAAGCAAGGTGGTACAGAGGAGGCATATTTTTATTCTGTGAAATATACCCAACTAGAAATATTACAAACATTAAGTTCACCCGTCACTGATTCACATATATAGCAGGTCACCTAGCAGTTCAGGTCAGAGCCACCAAATTAGGGACTGGCTAATAGTCCCTGAAGAGATTTCCTGCCATTTCCGATCACTAAGGCAACCAGATCTATCTTTCACTTTTTATATATTCCTATATTCTTCCTCTTCAGTCCGTAGAGGAATTCATTCACATCCCTTTTTAATGACCTAACTCCAGTTTCTGAGATTTCTCCCAAGTTGTGCATGTACATTGGATATTATTTCTAGCTCGCTATATACTTTTCCTTTCATTATTTAAGTAGCTTCTGAAACCACTTACTTTTATTTATTTTTCTAACCACTTTACTGAGATATAAGGAGCCCTGGTGGTGCAGTGGTTAAAGCGATTGACTGCTAACCAAAAGGTCGGCGGTTCAAAACCACCAGCGGCTCCATGGGAGAAACATGTGGCAGTCTGCTTCCATAGAGATTTAAAGCCTTGGAAACCCTATAGGGTTACTATGAGTTGGAATTCACTTGACGACAGTGTGTTTTGTTTTGTTTTTAAATTTAGATATAATTCACATACCACACAATTTACCCATTTAAAGTGCACAATTCACCCATTTAAAGTGCACAATTCAGTGGTTTTCAGCATATCCATAGATATGTACAATCATCACTACCATCAATTTTAGAACATTTTCATCACCAAAAAGAAACCCTGACTCTATTAGCATCACCACCTACCCTTCCCATCTTCCCCTAGGCCCTAGCAACCAATAATCTACTTTCTGTCTCTATGGATTTCCCTATTCTGTATGTTTCATATAACTGGAATCATACAATATGTGGTCTTTTGTGACCAGCTTCTTTTACTTATAATGTTTTCAAGTTTTGTCCATATTGTAGCATACATAACAACACTTCGTTCCTTTTTATGGCTAATAATATTTCATTGTATGGATACACCACATTTTATTTATCCATTTATCAGTTGATAATCATTTGGGTTGTTTTCACTTTTTGGCTATTATGAATAATGCTGCCATGAACATTTGTGTACAAGCTTTTGTATGGACATATGTTTTCATTTCTTTTGGGTATATACTTAGGAGTGGAACTGCTGTTTCATAGGGTAACTCTATGTTTAACCTTTTGAGGAACTGCCAGACTGTTTTCCAAAGTGGATGTACCATTTTACACTCCCACCAGCAGTGTATGAGAGTCCCCCATTTCTCCACATCCTCACCAACACTTATGATTGTTTCTTTTTGATTCTAGCCATCAGAGTGGGTGTGAAGTGGTAGCTCACTATGGTTTTGATTTGCATTTCTCTGATGGTCAATGTATGAACATTACTTGGTTTTTGTTTTTTCTCAAATCATACCCTGTCCAAAAATATAAACTTGAACAATACTAAGACACTTAGCTCCACCAAAATGACAGGACATTAAAAAAATATATTTTATTGAATAAGTTATTCATCAAATACCTATGTATAAACTTCTGTGCAAGATGCTGTGAGATTTTAAAGCCTAAGATAATGCTCCTTCCCTGGAGTCTTATGATAATTTTTGTAGAAAGTCATTCTTATTGTCTTTAATGAACATGTTGTAGTTCGTTTGTTAATATGTTCTGTTTATTTCTATTAGTGTCTACAGATTACAAATAACAAATAACTCTTAACCAGGGGATTTCTCTCTGTTTAAATCAATGTGTATAGTATTCAGCAGTGAAAAGGGCAAGCAATATAAAAAATTCCACTGAAAATTTATTCCTCCTCTCCCAAAATGACTTTTTGCATAAATTCTTTCTAGCTAAAAAACTGATTATAAGAAACAAATTTAAATATTTGGAAAAACTCTCCCATACTAATAATTTTTAAAACACTAATTTTATAAAAACAGATTTTTTTCTTGTGATATGTATAGACAGTGGGGAGAAAGTATTTACATTCCAATAACTTTAAATATATCTATTTACATACTTATAAAAATATTGAGGGAATCAGTGAAGGGAAAAGTATACGCACTTCTCTAACTTCACCCCTGGTATAAGCTAAAACTCCAATTTTGGGGAATGACAGAAGAATGATTAACAAATTCTTCCACAGTGCAAATATATAGTAAAATTTCAAGGCTGTTGTAGGTTATGTTTCTTTCCACTATTCTAAAAATACAGAAAAAATAACCTAGAATCCTTTACCTTCAGCTCTAAAACACATTCACATATAATTTTAACTGTGAAATTAGAAATTAGATTCTCTAGCTTAACACTAAATATTTTCTGAACAGTTTAGTTTATACCTCTAACTTCAAATATGAGATTTCTATGCAGACATTAAGATCTTTTTCAAGTTAGCGCTTAACCCATTGTATCAGCTTTTGATTGACATTTCTTCAAGGTTATAGCACACAGAGTTAATCAAGAGAATTTGTGTCTTGTGTCATAGCCAAACATGCTCTGGCAGCCTCTACATAATTAATATACTTAACCAACCCTCATAGGTTGGTTTTAACTTTGTTAAGCTATCAAAATCACCAGTCCTTAATAGCCACATCAGTAAAATATGCAACTACATGAACCAAAATCCTAACTATAAACTCATTCTTCAAAAGCTCTACATGACACAAGAGAAATAATTCAAGCTCATCTGTAAAAACTGAAAATAAATCTCCCTATAGGAAGTAAAACTTAAATTTCCCCAAATGCAAATTCTTAGGAAAACACTATGGAATGATAAATGAAATAAATGGGAACATGTATTTAGTTGCTTCTACATTAATATCATACTCTCTCATGAGAGATGGAAGGCATTAGGGATGTGCAATATGGTGGGGAACTTACAAAACAAATATAATACTAATAGAAACTGCAGGCTTTTTGAGATCTTCAGAAAAGAAATGGAAAACCTCTCTGGTTGTTAAGAAAATCATCTACCTTAAGACAGGAGGCAAGACCAGGTGACCTTTCAACAACAGAATTTTATATGTTTATGATAACCTGCTTATTTAGAGAGCATGTACTATTACATGCAATTTACTGAAAAACTCTGTGAAAACATCTTCATCATCATCATCATCATTATTTTTACCTGAGGAGGCGCCTTTTTCAGTAACACAAGAAGAGCCTGTAACACCAGATTAGAAAATCGAGGGCCAATAGGAACATAATCTGGAAAAGAACATTGTTGTGTTTAGGAATTTGATATACAAATGCACATATTCTAAGCATTCAGAATTTTCTGTATCAAGAGTAAATACAGTACTAAACAACAGTCATGCAACTGTCTATAATAAGAAAAAATATCTCCAACAATTCAAATGTTTGAGATACAAGAACCTTATCTGTAAAATTTTTGAAAAATCTCCTAAGTATCCATAATGAGTTTAAGAAGCCATCTTTAGTTTTCAGAAACCGTTTTCTTTTTAGGAAAAAAAACAAAAATAGGTCCATTTCTAAGAAATTACTACAAACGATAGCAATACAGTACACAGGCAACAAACCATGATGCTAGAAAATGGGTGGGGTGAAAATGATACGATAATGTAAATAAAGTATCTCAGTGTAACCGAAACGATGGTACAGGCACTAAGATTGGCCCTTGAATGGTCAAGAACATTAGTAAGAAAACTTTCTACCTGTTAAACTTCTACCAGTCTTTCAAGATTCAGCACAAAGGCTACCTCCTTAGCTTTCTCTGCATATTGCATGTGCACCCTTGCCTTGTGCTTACAGCTACCTGCAAGCATCAGCCCTCCAAAGTTAGAAGTGATCCTTTCCTTTTCTGAATATCCAGAATACATGGCATATTTATCTTTAAATTAATTTTTTTCAATATATTTTACAATGGACAGGCAGCATTTCATTTATTTCTTTGTGACCCTAATAACTCTAGCACAGCAGTAAGGGCTCAGCAAATGCTTGTTGAGTGAACTAATAAACAAGCACAGATAATAACTATTCATACAAATATACTCAGAGGGCACGCATTCCTAACATAGTAGTGTTGCTATGACCACACATCTCAATTGTGCTTAGATAAAGGAATTTACACACAGCGATGATTATGTGCCTACAAACATTGTAAGAAATAATCCTATAAACTGGGTTGAGATGTATCAGAAAAAACAGACCAAAAACCCAGGTCACTAAATAAAGCTATCAATTTATAATAAACATTGCCAAAACTTAGAAAAATCAACAGGTAGCTTTAACAAAAGACATAAAACAGTCTGAAAATCATGGGAACAATGCACTAAGAATAACTAACTTGAAATCATTACTATATCACCATGAACAGCTTAAGGAGGACGGGATTAAAATCACGTGTTGGATAGTATTTTCAGACATTTACTAAGTCACCAGGTGGGTTTCTATTTCAATGGAACTTACTACAGCATCTTGGGTCATTGCTATAACAAATTTATTCCAAATTAATCTAATTTTTACACTGAAATAAAATGTAAGAGTAATAATAATTTTCTGCCATTTATTTGTAGTTTACTCCTTATGAGTTAACTGAGTGCAGAGACTAAGTCTTATCCATCTTTGCATCCTCTAAAAGTGTAGTTAAACCTCCTTTGCCATCAAGTCAATTCCAACTTATAATGATCCTACAGAACAGAGTAGAACTGTCCCACAGGGTTTCCAAGGGTGTAATCTTTATGGAAGCTGACTACCACATCTTTCTCCTGCAGAGCATATGGTGGGTTCAAACCACTGATCTTTAGGTTGGCAGCCGAGCGCTTAACCACTGCATCACCAGGGCTCCTTGCAGTTAAACATAGGAAATGCTTAATAAATATATATTTTTAAATTACTATAGAGTACGTTTTAACTTTCAGAATGTTCTCAACATTTGTTATCCCATTTTTGTCTTCACCATTACTCTGTGGGATAAGTAAGGAAGGATTTTAGTCTGTTTTATAAGAGAAGAAACTGAGGTGCACAGAGCTTAAAACTTCTGCCCTAAGTGATATAACTAATTGTGGATTTCACTCCAATCCTAAACACTTCTTTCATTAGTTCTGCCAAAGTCCAAAAGGGGAACTTCTGAGCTGTAGCAGCTAGAGGTACTAAATGGCAAATATCATCAACAAAATATCACTAATCATTTATTGTGGGCAGGGCATTCTGTGGGAAATACAAAATAAATGAGACACATGCCATTACAGGAAAGCAGTTTATACTGGAGCTATGGTCATAAAGGCATATTTAACATGAATACCACCGTTGATTTCAGATGGAGAGATAATGTTATATTTCCCACCAAAGAAAGGTATTTCTATTGCCCTGAAGTCTACAAATACCTGTTATTTTTCTCTTATAACTTATGAGATAGGAGTCCCTGAGTAGCACAAATGGTAAGTGCTTGGCTACTGACCAAAATGTTCGCAGTTTAAATCCACCAAGGTGCCTTGGAAAAAAGCCCTGATGATCTCTTCCAAAAGATCACAGCCACTGAAAATCCCATGGAGTGCATCAGCTGTAATGTGGCAAAGACAGTACAATGGCAAAAGTTATGACTCACCGAGCAGTCTCTCAATGTCATCCACAACCACACAACTGAGCTGAGATTTGTATGCATCATCAAAGATCTGGAAGGAAGCAAAACCATTTATTATCCTGCTGTTCTCCATAATTATGACAGTTTCCAAGAAAATGAAATTTAGTTAATTCTTGAACTATGCCTAAACAAAGCACAGTAAAACACCAATATTTCAGACTACAGTAAATCAGAATTTAATAGAATAAAATTTTAGAACTGAAAGGGTCCTGGCAATTTAAAAATGAGGAAATTGAGGCCCAAAGCAGTTAAATGACTTGCCCAAGACCACACAACTGGGTCATGGCTGAGTGAAGAGCAGGATAATGCTGTTTTCAATACCGAGAGCTGCATGTATCACACCTGGGCAAGCTGAGGAACAGCTGATCATTAATCAACTGACAAATTCCATCAAGTTTACCACACTGGTCTTTCATATATGTGTCAGGAGTATGACTTTAATGTTGTGATTCAAGACCTAGATGCAGCAATGAGGGATATGTAGAATAAAATTGATGTCATTTTATTATCTGTACGAGTTGTGGCCCTGTAGGTGGGAACAACGCTGGATGGACAGAATCCTGTCAACTCAAATCAGACCATAAAGGTAAAACAGGTTACAAAAGAATTACAGTTGGGTATGAAAGGTGAGATGGATATATCCTTAGAACTAGACAAATGATAACAGTGTATTGTCTTAAGGCAGCAGATTAAAACAAGTAGTGAAGGAAGCTGTTATATCTTGGCAAGGATGTAGCAATTTCAAATCAGACAGAACAATTAATTCACATATATGCTGAATGTAAGAGCTCAAAGAATTGAGACTAGTCCCCTTAAATGAGAAGGGTTCCTATTCTAGAGACTACAAGTATTGCTCAGTGTGCCCCACTGCTGTCAGGAGTAGAAATGAAGTCCTGTGTGCCAGCCCTGTCTCTCCATGCACCAAGACTGTACCCTCCCCTTCCATTTTGCTCAGGGTGGTGTAGTATTTCCTTAGTGGATATCTTTTAACTGTAAGATTTAGCATTAGGTATAGAAATAAAGTAAATCAAACTTACAGTGTTAATATTTTTCATATTAAGTTTAAGAATAACCTGTGTATACTGTTTTTAAAGTATTTATAACAATTGAAAAATTTTACCATACTAGACTAATAGACTAGCCTTCCAGTCCAATTTAAAACATGAAATTGAGTAATTAATTTTGATAAGCTCTTAAACTGAAAGGTAAAAGATAATTTTAATAGCCTTGAAACTAATGTTGTGATAGTAAAGATAACTTAAAATTCACCATATTTTAATTTCAATTTAATTTATTATTAAATAAATGTAATTAAAGATTTACTTTTTGTTAGACAAATAACTTAAGTACTTCACAGAAAAAATAAAATATTTTAAATGTGTAAATATAGTTCAAAACATTTAAAGAAATTTAAGTTGTAAAAGTCCTCTTTTAAGAAATTGTTAAATTTTACTAGATTTAAAATAGAAAAAGAGATGTAAGTGGATTTTTTTAAAGCTTAATTTTCTTTTGTGTTCAAAAGCTAGGTTTTACATTATGTAATTTTAATATGTTCAATTCTAATTTTTTTAACTCGTTAGCTATGCATGTCTTTTCTATGCTCAAAAGTCACCTGCAAAGATTGGGAAAAAAAAAGTAAAACAAAAAACAATTCACATTGACAATCTAGACAGCAAGTTCCTCCCCAATACATTGCATGCTCCTTAAGTTAGGGATTGTCTTCCTCAGTATTATGTTTTCTGGGTCTGACACTTCACTGGTGCTTAGTAAATGTTTATTGTGTGTGTGCATGAAAAAAATGTGTCCCTCCTTTCTATTCTCACTGACACCATCCTAATTCAGTTCCTTGTTACATCTTTCCTGGAGTAAATACTGGACAACAGTTTCTACCTCCAGATAAAATATAAACCCATTGCCATCCAGTCAATTTCAACTCATAGCAACCCTATGCAGTAAGAATGAAAATGAAGAGTATGGTGTTGGTGTGGGGGTGATGTGGCTGTGCATGTGTGGGTGTTGGTGTGGTGTTGGTGTGGTGTGGGTGTTGGTGTGGTGTGGGTATTGGTGTGGTGTGTGGGTGTGGTGTGGTGTTGGTGTGGTGTTGGTGTGGTGTGGGTGTGGTGTGGTGTGGGTGTGGGTGTGGTGTGGGTGTGGGTGTGGTGTGGTGTG